GTAGCTTAGCCCGAATTAATTTTTCAAGTAACTCAACTACTATACTGGTTAGGCTAACAGGCCGGTAGTTAGATACGATCCGTCTCTGACCATCCTTAAATATAGGACTAACTATGGCGTCTTTCCAGTCTCTAGGTAGTTGAGCCTGTGAAAGGGACATGTTGAAGAGCATCGTGAGCGGTCTTGAAATAATGTCCGCAAGCGACGACAGTAAACGTGGGTGTAACCCATCGGGGCCCGGTATCTTACAAGGTTTTAGGTTAGTTATCAAAGGAAGAACAATATCCTCTGTCACGTGTAAAGGTCCTATGGCTGGTATCTCATTGTCAACGGGACAAGTAGTTGTAACACTACACGTAGAGTAGACTTCACTGAAATAGTTAGCAAATGTCTCCGCTTTCGCTAGATCAGATTCAGCCAATAAAGCTGAATTTTCGCTTAACAGTAATGAGGTGATACCATCACTACGTTTCGTCCGCCTTTTAACATACGAAAACAGTCGCTTCGGACAGGTACGGCTATCGTATGCCAACTGTCGTTCGTAAGCCGTGCGGGATTTAGCTATGGTCTTTTTACATATATTTCGGATTTTTTTATATTCTCACTTAAATGATGCCTTACCTGTTGACAAGAATAAGTCCCAGAAGTGTTTCCTACGCTTCAACAGCCTTCGGGTTTCCTTATTAATTTATGGAGGGCAATATGATAGCTTACGTGCTGACCATGCGATAAACGGTTGAGTTACGGATTCGAACGTAGACTTAAACCTATTCCATGCATCATCAATCGATCCATCAGCATCGACCGACCAGTCAATTGAGATAGCATAGTCCCTGATTGCCGGAATATTAGCTCTCCAGATATTAGGACGGGGTGGAGCAGATGCAAATTCTATACCATGTATCCGGAACTTAAAGGAAAGTACGACATGATCACTATTCACCAGTGGGGGATGGTGTTGAATGTCGACGATATTTTCACAGTGGTGTGTGAGGACAAGGTCTATCAATGACGGATTATGTTCCAAGTCTATATGCGTTGGCTTGACGATACATTGTACAAGTGCACATTGAATAATTGATGACAGAAGGACGCTATCGAAACCCCCACCTGGAGCTGTGAGCTCTATCCAGTTTATATGGGGTGCATTGAAGTCTCTAACGATGAGACAAGATCCTGCCTTACTCCAAGAACAGACGTGTTTTAGGATAAAGTCGTCAGCGAGACAACACGGACTACGATATATTCCTCCTATCGTCACTAACCCGTTTCTAGACCTAATTGTACAACATACTACCTCACACGTACCACTTACATGCGCCTCCGATATGATCGAGTTTATGCAGAAGTGGTCCCTAACATATAATATCATGCCACCTCCCTTGCGACTTCTAACTCTATCACTTCTGATACAGATGTAGCCAGAAATGACTGGAGAACAGTCTATATCTACAGTGAGCCAAGTTTCGGTGATAACAATTATATCCGGATTTAAGTCGTCTACCATCAAACTTAGTTCACACATCTTATTCCGAAGACTACGAGCATTCGTGTAACACACATTTAAGGTGTTTTGGAGACATACGTTCTACCCACACAGGTCACGGAAGCATTGGCTTCCAAGACCTGACTACCCGAAAACCCTTAATCGTAAGGTTCGCTTCACCGTTCAGCTTTCGAGTTTTTAACTCTGTTAGGGCATTCTTCCACTTGATCCAAGAGGAAGTTTGATTTGTGCCACGTTTTGGTTTGGCCGCTCCTAGCTTTTTTCCAACCAACTCCTACACCATAAAACATTGCACGTCGGGGCAGTCGGTGGTTGACATACGTAACACGTGTCTCAGCCACCTTAACTGATGAATTTTCACTACTTCATCATTCGATCTGCCATCGTTACTTAGTACTTGTTTCCTAACAATTGCATTACTTACTAGGTGGTCCCAGGATATACTAGCAATGCTTCGAAGACACCTATGATCGAATACTAGTAGCCTACGAATATCCTCTACTCTTACTGGCCATGTTTCACTGCCATAAAGTAGGACGGAACGGACTGCTGCACAGTAAACCCGTACTTTGGTTGCTAGACGGATATCTCGCCTACGCCATAAATGACGCAAGTTGGCGAAAGGTAGACGAGCCTTCTGTATCCGTGGTGAGATTTCGTCACATACCAGACCACAAGGGCTGATGAGACTCCCAAGATAAGTGAAGTGGTCTACACGCTCAACTACTTCACTCCCTATCATTAGTTCAGGTGCCGATGCAACCCAATCCTGAAGTAACATTTTGCATTTCGAGGGGGAGACTCGCATTCCGAACATGCCTGCATAGTTGCTTATAGTGGTCAGAAGGCTCTGCATGTTGTTAGCGTCTTCACCGAGTAAAACTATGTCGTTGGCGTATTCTAAGTCAACAAGTGAATCTCCCGGTAAAAGTTCAACTCCTGGAGGTTTAACTGATGAAAGTGCTATCTCTAAAAGTATGTCAATGACAAAGTTAAACAAGAATGGGGAGAGTGGACAGCCCTGACGAACACCACCTGAGGTAATCAATTCTGATGACAGTCCGCCATAGGCTCTAACTCGACCAGTTGTGTTCGAGTAGAGAGCCTTTATGAGGTTAATGTACTTCTTTGGTACTCCTTTCAGTGACAAGCACTACCATAGAGCCTCACGATCAATAGATTCAAATGCCGCCTTAAGGTCAAGAAATACTACTATTGTGGGACGTCTGAATTTGTGTCTATGTTCTAGGACCTGACGTAGGGTGAATATCTGGTCTATGCAACCACGTCCAGGTCGAAAACCAGCCCGGTTTTCTCTAGTCTGCTCTTCACGCGCTTTGGTTAGGCGACCTACTATTATTGAAGCTAATATTTTAGACAATATTAGTCAAACTGATTCCTCTGTGATTGTCACAAGAGGACTTTTGCCCTTTTTTATAAACTGGCACAATCAGTGATTGAGACCAGTCAGATGGAATTACGTCCAGTTCCCAAATTCTACGTAAGACCTCAGTCAATCTCACTTCTAATACTGGGCCGCCATCCTTAAAACTCTCAGGGGTAAATCTGTCACGGCCTGCTGATATCCCTCGCCTTAGATTTCCTATGGCTTTTTCAACCTCCTAAAGAGTTGGAAGACTTACATTAACTTGCCGTTCAGGTCGACTGGGGATCGTGGGTAACCGAAATGTGGCTGAAGTTCAGTTGAACTGATCCCTAAAGTGTTCTACCTGTCGATCAAATCTCCTGGATTGAGAATGAATGATATGTCCATCTTTTTCCGAGATAGTTTCGCTGACGATTGGGTTCCTAATACCGGTTTCTTTAACAAGTCTGAACAGTTGTCTGCTATTGCCGCTGCCTTTTCCATCTCTCTTGCTTTCTCTACCCATCACTGTTCGCGATAATTTTGTAGGCTTCTTATTGGCCTGCGCTTAAGTTGACTCAGCTCTTCGTTATGTTCAGAGCCAGATGGGATAAGTTTCCGAGCATCTATCAGTGCGGTAGATGCTGCTGAGATCCAGTGTTTCTCCCCAACCTTATGGTTTACCGTACTAGCAGTTATCACTGCTGTTTCCACAGCTTTTCGGATGTCATTCCACGCTCCTCGGGGTCGGCACAACTTACATGGCTGCCTGACTGGTTTTCTAGTTGTTTCTGAAATATATCCTGCTTCAGTTTGGGCACCTGGGCAGTATCACAGCCCTCAAGCAAATCGAAAGAGATTTGTATGGCGCATATGTATTTGGTGTTTCCTTGTACCAATATTTGTGTTTAAATAAATAAATAAATAAAATCTGAAATATACTCTTAGCTTGCCTATCATTAGGTAGAACCCTAAGAGGTTTCCTTGCAGTGTTTTTCCTGCGTCCAGTAAGACACAGGCAGATACGTGCTCGTACTAGAGCATGATCTGAATCTAAGCATGTGCTCCAGAATAAGCAGCAGTCTTCTATCGAGCTCCTCCTTCGGTAGCTGATAGCGATGTGATCTAGTTGGGTTCAACGTTGGGACGACTTCGGGGGTCGCCACGTCAAAAGATGTTTTTCCTTATCCTTAGAGTTAGTATTTGCTAGAAACAGGCGGTTATCTGAACATAGCCGCAACAGACGGTCGCCATTATCTATTCTTTGAGCCACCAAACCATAAGATCTACTCAGGTGTCTTTCGCTTAGTTTACCTACTTGAGCATTAAAGTCACCTGCCATTATTACTACATCAGAGCGCCTAGATTTTCGGAGAAAGTCGGAAAGCTTTCTGTTAAACTCATCTACATCATCTGAGCTGCAGTCAGTGGGAGGGTAGGCAGAGATAATGAATGTCCTTACTGTTCCGTTTAGTCGGACAGCGCACATACGACTGTCTACTGGGATCTAGTCTAAAAGGGCTAGTTCTGCCCTAGGACTCAATGATATACCTATGCCAGCGAGGCCACGGGAAGCAGCATCAGGGCTTCCAGATACACGAAGTGTGAATCGAGTTGTTCTTCATTATGACACGGTGGGGTCAAATGAATGACGCTACTCGGATCTTGTATGCGCGTTTCGGAGACGCAGCACACATCAATGGTGGGAGATTCTAAAGTCCTAGCTAAGGAAGCCTGTTGTCCTATTTGGCGTAATGTTCGGACGTTAAAAGTTCCTACATGTAGTTTAGAGCGTGGTTTCAGGAGATCAGGAATAACGTTCCGCGTACTCGAATCGTTTGCGATACTGTTGCCACCTCTAGTGCTGTAGTATTCGCCTTGACAATATCGAAATAATAGTAAGTTATTCCCAACAAATTAAAAAAATTTCCCCACATTTCAACCTACTAGCTGCTTGGTTCGTCCTAATTTTAATTAGGTAGTTGTAAGCCGGTATTATTGATGATAGAGCTTCCAGTAATATAATCTTTCCGTTTCTTGGACTTAAAATATACCAACCTTTTTATTTAGCCTAGTTTAAAGTAGTACTTTCAACGGTTCATTTCATTTTATTTGATCTGTTTATAGAGTGATTCAAGTTGGATCACATATTCCCGAACTACGTGCACGAGCTCGTACTCTTAACACTCAAGCCATAAATCAATTAGGGCGCTTGCGGAAACTAGGCAGCGTTGTTCAACAGCATGTTCGTAGTGAGAAAAATGCGTACTCAGTCAATTGTCAAGAACGGTACCATTCACTTGGTATCTTCTCAATTGATCGTAAGTTATCTCAAATATACTTTTCTTTAATGCATATGTATCCTTTACATGTAATAAATAAGTCGTCGATTTAGAGACCTCATGATTTGAAACAATTGGTAGTATCGATTGTTATTTCTGTATGTTGTATCTCTATGATGTTAGTGTCTCTTATTCTTCACTGTGTATTATCCTATTCCTTTAAATCATTTTGCTGCTTTCTTATTACTCTTAAAATAGTTCCATTACTTCCCGTAGGTTTCCTTCCATCACTTGAACCATGCCTAAGAAGCTCGTATCAATCGAAACCTTTTATTGTTTTAATCAACGGTTATACGATTTTGTATTCGATTGTATATTTTGTCATTCTAATTTTACTCCTAAATTTCTCTATTTACCATAGGACATAAAATCAAGAAAATGACATTCTTATGGAAATTATTACATGGTACATATATAAAACCATGCTCTCAAGCAGGAGACAATCCTTTTAGGAAACTGTCTGGATCATTTCTGAAGGCATTGGAGTCTGTGAGTGTGTTTGTACCCATCCCCACTGATTACATTTCAAATGAGGCATAGGTTTTCTGGTCTTCAAAGATCTAAACGCCTAGGCATTGGAAAAATAGATGATGAGCAAAGATATGGAAGAATGTTTAGGATATATTTCTCTAAACAAAAAATGTTTCAGAATTGGTTTTCACCAGCTACCTGTTCGACTACAGGTAGCAGTGTAAATGAATGTTTCGTTTACTTCTCTTATTTCGAATATCTCATCAGTTCTGGTTGGCTTTTGTCTGATAAAATCTTGGGACAGATTCGAAAATTTCCCTCGGTACATGGCAACTCCTGGTATGGAAGTGATGTCCGTCTCCCAGTTGGTTGGAGGATATAATTAGCACTAATCCTCTTTGCATTCATTGTATAGATGGGAAGCGCACTAAGAATTTTGATGACATGTATAAGCTCCAAGTGTTCGATCATAGCTTCTAAACCCAGATTGAAAAATCTTTTTCATTATCCGTTTTTGCTATTTTTAGATGAACCTTCAGAGCAGAAACAGGTTTCTTTAGAATCAAAGGCAGATATACAAAGAGCACATGAAATGGAACAGTTGGAATCTGATATAATTCAAGTAAACGAACTTTTCACAACGCTTGCTACATACATTCACGATCAAGGAACGTTAGTTGATTCCATTGGAGATAATATAGAAGTAGCCTATGAGCAGGTAGGTTTTTTCTGCAATTTATGCTCATGAAGTCTTTACTTTTACGTCGTCCACGATGAAAATAGATACACACACTGTTTAAAACCTATTATGAACGTTATTCAGATCTCATAGTACTGAGTTAGTCAGTTTATATGTGAAACTGCAGACCTATCACTAACATACGAAGTTATCCTCCATCGCCGTCAGTTTTCTAGAGGACTGTGATATTCCAGTTTGAGGTTTAATAGATGACTACGGTTAGTAGTTGAAAAATTAATATAGTATGGTTCTAAATCGGTCTCCAACCCGTATCCACCTATAGTCTGGAATTTTCCTGCCTAACATAAGCGGTATTGGAATAGGTTTTTGGCGATAAAATTTCAAAAGAGATAAGATTTATATATGCAAGACTTTACATGTTTTGTGATATCAGAGCCGTTATTTACTAGACATAGTACAAACTGGCTAGAAGTTTCGGAAATTTATTTATACATCTAAGCACATAAATATTGGTACAATGAAGCACCAGATAAATATGCGCCATACAAATCTCATTTGATTTGTGTAAAGGCTGTGATACCACCCACATGCCCAGACTGAAGCAGGTGGTTTTCTTAACGGGCCACACCCGGAGCCTTTGACCTAAAGGTCTAGTCCACAAGGCAGTGGACCATCGTGAGGAGATGCAGTCCCATGGTAGCCGGTGACCAACGATTGATTCATACGCCATTTGTTCCATCAGGATACTGGAGCCGATGTGCACCATTGGTTTAGAATGAGTGTTTTCCAACTCCCCTAGATTGACTCGCCGTGTCCACCGACTCGGTTAAAGCGCCAGACATTCGCTTTTCGTCCTCTCAATTTCTTGAACACTACCCCCGCCACAAAAAAGTAGTGAGTAGGACTTCCCTGTTAGAGGCTATATACGCGTGACCATATGAGAGCATTTCGAGACGGAGAGCGGACTCTTTCCACTCTCGATCATACCAGGGCATTTTGGGGTTTCGGAAATAAAGTTGTGTGTCTTAATAACTAATGTATTATGCAGAAATTTGTAGAAGCTGTTTAGAATAATAGCCAAGTAACTATATCTCTAAGTTGGATCATCCAGATTTATCGTTTTTCATATGATATGCGTTCATTCGACTTCAAATCTATTCAGTTAATTGTCTTTAATATTTTATATTTATTTTCCAGGTTCAAAGTGGTACAGAACAACTAAGCACTGCTACAAAACATCGAAAATCAGCACGACGAAAAAAGTGTATTTGTCTTGGCCTTATAGTACTGGTTTTATTTATTTTAGCCTTGGCGATAGGATTATCCCTAAGACAATAAAATAATTCCTGAACTGTTCTCATTTGATTTTCGAGTTGTTCTCATAAACTTTCATTATATCATCAAGTTGATTTTTTTCTGAATATATATTTAACTTTTACAGGAATCAATGTCTTTCATAATTCATCCTTATTTAACTATAATCTTTACACTTTGTTTGTTTGCTTTTTTTTTATCTTTCATCATTTGGTAACGATCTAATATTCATATGTGGGTGCTTAGATTTGATTGTATAATCAAAATTGTACTAACCAGTGATTGTTTGTTTTTGTAATTTGTGTTTTAATTTCAATATTGTGTTACTATGATTCGCATCATGATGTGGTGGTGGTAGTAGTAGTAGTAGTAAGTTGCTTATTTGTCAATCAGTAGTATCTTAAAAGATTTAATTTTCTCGTAGATAATAGTAATTATTAAGAGGGACAGTCAAGCCTTCAAAGCATCGTATTTTGTTATCTAGTAAATCTAAATTGTTTTTGTCAGCGTTTCAAAAGTTGAAAAGTAAAGTTGATGTTGAAACTCTTATTAACAAAACGCTGCTTCCTTCCTAGTCATTGTGGACTGCTAGAAGTCAGGAATGCTGGTCACCAAGCCTAATCAGAGATATGATGATTGCTGGCAATATGCAGCAAAAAGAATGTACATTATTTAGGTGTCGATTGACTGGACGGCTAACTTCTAACTGGTGATCACTCAGTATTTGTCGTCAGGATCGGTGAAGATTTAATTTAAACACAAGTATTGGTACAAGGAAGCACCAGATACATATGCGACGCACAAATCTCATTTGATTTGTGTGGGGGCTGGGATACCACCCACATGCCCAAACTGAAACAGGTGGTTTTCTTAGCGGATCACACCCGGAGCCTTTGACCTAAAGGTCTAGTCCACAAGGCAGTGGAGCATCGTGAGGAGATGCAGTCCCATGGTAGCCGGTGACCAACAGTTGGTTTATACGCCATTTGTTCCATCACGATCCTGGAGCCCATGTGCACCATTGGTTGGAATGAGGGTTTTCCAACTCCCCTAGGTGGACTTTCCGTGTCCACCAACCCAGTTAAAGCGCCGGGTATCCGCTTTTCGTCCTCTCAATTCGGTGAACAACAGTAATGTCACGAAAAGACAGTGAGTAGGACCTCCCTGACGGAGGCTATATACGTGTGGCCATGTGAGAGCATTTGGAGAGGGAAAGCGGACTCTCCTCACTCTCAGCCGTACCAGGGCAATCGGTGAAGAAATAAAAAACGGAAACTTGTTGAAATACATTGTGTTGAGAATTCTATATCGTACCAAAAATATAATATCGAATTAAGCTAATGATATTAATAATGCTATGAATCCCACGAATAAGTAATCGCAACACTCAAGTTTCTTATCTCACTCAATCTCCTAAATAATTAGAACCTGATTGTTAGATTTAATGTTTGTCTAAATATCTAATTTAAGTGGTCAAAAGTTGCAATGAAAGGAAACAACTTTGACCTCAGATCCTACTCACTCACTCCATTATCCTGAGTAAGCATTCTTGTTTTCGATACTAAAATCAACACAGATGGTCTTAGAAATGACGTCAACTTAAAGTAGATTACTAATCTCGGTGATACAGCTAAGCTTTATTCACCGACATTCTGGTTTCTTTAGCCTCCGTCTTGCTTAATTTAAATGAAATCGCTCTCTAGTGAGTCCGCCTATTTTAATCAAGATATAAATGTTTTCACTGAAAGTGCGATCAGCCTCGCTCATCATTTTATTAGTAACGACAAAGGAATTTCTGTATTGAATGTTATTTGGTAACTGATGTGACCGCTCCCCAAAAAAATCCTGGTTATAATCCTTATCATTGTAGCCCCCAAATGCCCTGGTACGGCCGAAAGTGGGGAGAGGTGACTCTCCCTCTCGAAATACTCTCATATGGCCAGCGAATATATAGCCTCTGTCAGGGAAGTCCTACTAACTGCCTTCTCGTGGCATTACTGTTGTTCACAAAAGTGAGAGGACGAAAAGCGAATGTCCGGCGCTTTAACCGGGTTGGTGGACACGGAAAGTCCACCTAGGAGAGTTGGAAAACCCTCATTCCAAAACAATGGTGCACATGGACTGCAATATCCTGAGGGAACAAATGGCGTACGAATCAATCATTGATCACCGGCTACCATGGGACTGCATCTCCTCACGATGCTCTACTGCCTTGTGGACTAGACCTTTAGGTCAAAGGCTCCGGGTGTGGCCCCCTAAGAATACCACCTGCGCAGTATCACAGCCCTCACACAAATCGAATGAGATTTGTGAGGCGCATATTTATCTGGTGCTTTTTTGTACCAATATTTATGTGTTTAAATAAATAATAAATAAATAAAGCTCTTTACAGCATTACAATCGCTAGTATCATTAGAACAATATACGAGCGTACAATTCAACGATGAGTCGTTTGAACTGATTTATTGATTTTGCAAATTCCATAGAAACATTAAATTATTGACCACCCACTAATTCAATTCGTTCTAGTTTATTGATTGATCAAGCATTCAAAAGGATGTGTGGTCCACTGTTGCTATTATTGTATATGCAACTCACTTAGTGACTGGTGTATGGATTATTCCTCTCCCACAGTCTTGATTTCTTTGTGTTGCATTATAAGAGTATTGTTCCGTTGCGATGACTAATAAGCACTTATTACGCAGTCAGTCGTGCTAATAGCAACAGACTGTACTGGCGGCCTGCTTGAATATCTGGGCTACTGTATTATTTGAATGAACCAATGATTCCGCTGTATTGATGACTGTTTTGAATTCCAAATACAGTGTATTCTTTCGTGTCATTGCTGGGATTACTAGTTCATAATTCAAATCATCACATTGGCGTCGCGATGGAACGGTTAGATATACATACAGATTTTAAGGATTACATGGAGAGGTTCGAAATCTGGGCTATGACCAAGGAAGATGATGGGGATTTTAATATTGTGGCCCATTTCCTTACCTTTATTGGAAAAGAAGTATACAGCTTAGTAAAACCTTTGGCGTTCTCAGACAAACCGATTTCACTCCTTATGCAACTCTCAAACAACTACTTCTGGACCATGTAAAGTATACATGTCTCGAATGCGGTGAAGAAGAAAAATTTGATGAAATAACTCGCCAGAACATCAGGAATTCCACCACTTTACGACGTCGTCGCAGTCCAATACGTAATGAAGGTTACTCAGATAACAATTTACTAAATTGTGAAACAGTTCACAAAGATGAGCACAAGTTTGGTGAATACTTGTACTATAGCAAGTTTCACCCACGTAATTCATGTGTATAGGGAGTTTACAACCATTCGTTGTACAAGTTACAAAAAAGTACAATCAGAGACATTGTGGCAAGCTAACAATATGCATTGAAAAGAATGAACATTATTTAGATGTCGATTCCTAAACTGCTTACATCTAACTGATTGGCTGACTTCCATTCCTACTAAGTGTCTAAACATGTATCGTTATTATGATGCAATCACAATTCAAGAATCCTGATTAAATGATTTACAAGACGTTTGCTCAACAACACTACAAGATCTCAATATTTATCGTCACGATCAATCAATTACTAGGGAAAAAAGAAACCTGTTGAAATACTTTGTGCTAAGAATTGTAGATTGTTTTTATAGAGTTGAGATCATGAGTCAATTGAAGCTAGACCACCATGGAAAACCTTGAAGCACTGGACGACGGTCGTTCCGTCCCACTGTGGAACTCCTCAACAGTGCGCATCCACGATCTCGCCTCGCGAGATTCAAACTCAAGACCTACCAGTCTCGTGCCAGAGCACTGCTGAGGAGTCTCACAATAGAACGAAACGGCCATCCAGGTTTAGCTTCAATTGACTCATAATCTCAACTACATAAAATTACTAAAATTTCCACAAAACCCCTCTTCTGATCATTCTAGATTGTATCAAAAATAGAATATAACGACTAAAGCCATTAATAGAAATAATTGTGTATCAAATTCAAATTACATTAGTCTTGTTCTCATATATTAGAACATACAACATAATACAAAATATAAAAAAATCTTCATTTCTAATGAAAATTGTAACAAAATAAGATTTACAATAATAAGAATAATAAAAATAAACCTTGAGATGGATACACTCATCATATATATTCTATTATGGTAATAGGGTAACAAAAGTAAAGAAATAGAGAAATCCTTACAACCCATTCCCCCCCACCCCCGATTGTTTTTTTAACCTTGATTTATTGATACAGTTCAATATAGAAATTAAAAAAAAAAAACAGATTCACTTTACTACTGTTAGTAATTAGTAATGAAAGACGAACATTTTTGGCAGTTCAAAAAAAGGGAAGAAGAAAAATAAGCAGCCAAAAAATAAAGATTTTTTGCGAAATAAATTGATTATTGAATACATGAAATGTGAACACTGTATATGTTTGTTTGTTTGTTGGTTTGGTTTTCCTCCTTGATAATACGATTGATTAGGGGGTGGGGGGTTTCTGTGGAGATATATATGGTTGATACCATGAGTTAATTGAAGCTAGGACCACCAAGGAAAATCTGATCCCACAATAGGACGAAATGGCTGTCAAACAGTGCTTCCAGGTTTTCCACCACGATGGTCTAGCTTTAATTGACTTATGTTTTCAACTATATACATAAACAATACTAATCCTTGTCAATGATTAAGTTATAGATAGATTAGGAATTTTATCCAATGGTGTAGAATCTAATGATGCACGTTTAAATAATTCAATTAAATAATTTAAACCATATAAAAAATTTTCATCTTTGATTTGATCACAATTGGTTACTAATTCCCAACGTGTAAAATCAATTAAATAAACTAAAACATATTCTTCTTCTTCTACTGTTACACTGTCTTCCATATTGGATGTCATGATTTCTTTATGTTCTTGGTAACTATTATGATGAGAATGATGTGACGGGGTGGCATACGGAGATAACATTGTTTCATTTTGTTCCATATTGGATATCATGATTTCTTTATCCTCTTGGTAACTACTATTATGATGATGATGATGTAATGAAGGGGTGGTAGTAGTAGAAGTAGTAGTAGTAGTAGGATGTGAAGATATCATCATTTTATTATTTAAAACAATACTATCATATGCTAATAATAATGAACTAGCATAGAAATGATAATAATTTTGATTTTCAAACCATTTAGCTAATTGGGTTAATTTTTTAACAAATTGTTTAGCTAATCTTTTTGCACGATTTACATTTGGACCAAGAAATAGACGAATACCTTAATAATATAAAATTATAAAAAAAAAGTATAAATATAACTAAAAAATCAACAAATAGAAATATATATATAAATGATGAATCGATTGGTGTTAGACTACCATTAAAAAAGTGGAAGCAATGGATGGTAGTTTCGTCCTAGTATGCGACTCGTCAGCAGTATGCATCCACGCTGCAGCACGCGGAAATCGAATTCAAGACTAGTTTCGTGAGCGAATGCTTAACCGTTAGACAACTGGGCTGGCATTCAACAGTGTTAATCTCTAACTTTAATCAACCTACGATACTCAGACCATTGTCTTCAGTGGGAAATTACCTCACACTCCGACACGGTGTAACACTTCAAATCATATAGATAAAGCTTATATACTTTTTACCTTATTTAGATTGTATTGAATCAACTGGCTTGTCTGTAGAAAACGAATACATTTAAATTCACTTGGTATTGTTTGTTTGAATCTTCCAAATGATGTTTAGGACTGTAATTGATCAGTCTTTTATTGGCATATGTACATACTATGTCCATACTGAGATGCAGATACATCCAGCTGACGAGTCCGAAATAGGACGAAATGCGCATCCTGGATTCCACTGCTAGCCATTATTCATCTTTGCTTATAATGAATACATTTGTTTTTATTAAGAAAATATACTTGATTGTGTGATAGCTTCTATCGGTATAATTAATTATTGACATTCTTCATTATTCAACGGCAAATTGTAATTCTTAACTTCATGAAGATGATTAATTGTCCTCAATTAATGAATATTTTAGAAATTAAACTCTCTCATAAATCACTTTCATAATAAGAATCTTAAAAAGTTAGTCGCTGGGAGTGAATGATATTTGTTCAATTAAATGACGTTTATATATGAGGAGGAAGAGGAGACTTTTAATCTGACTACCAATAATTCGAACTGTTTAATATTTGTACTAGCAAAAATTAAAATCAGTAGTACATTTTTAATTACAAAAATAAAATGGATTGTGTTCAATAGTTGACAAGTTAATGGTTTTGCACAGATTTATTAGGGGTAAAATAACCATTACCATTTAACTTTTTATAATGTTAATTGAAATAGAGTGATTAATTTGCATCATTACATTGTTTATTATTTAAACACATAATTATTGATACAAGGAAGCACCAGATATATATGCGCCGCACAAATCTCATTTGATTTGTGTGACAGCTGTGATACTGCCCGACTGCCCAGATCGAAGCAGGTATTACATTGTAATTAATGTTGAGAAGATACAACACTGTATTTAACTCAATAATATACTAATCAAACTGAATAAACTAGTGAACACATTGTCAAAATATGACATAATTAGCTTTATAAAAACTTCAAATGTCAGTCAGTTACAACGTAGGATCAGGCACACATATCCATCGGTTCAAGTTGCCATACCTCGTGAGCACAACAAGATGAACACCGAATTCATAAAAGTAGTTAATTTAGTGGTGGTAATATATGAAAGAAAGGTTGTATTTAAGGATATGACTTTTCATTCGGATATATGTCGATGTAAAGAGCTGAATATCGCATAAATTACGATAAAAATAAATTAGTAAGAACCTCTAATTGGTCAAAATGAAGACAACAACAACCACAAAGAACTAGAAATATAATGACGAAATGGTGAAAGTGGATGTATCTCATTTACCACTAAGTAAGGTATTTCCAATTCTAAAAAGAAATTTGATTTCAAGCCTACTAAACGGATTTGTATCGAATAACTTAATCGCATTATCTGTTAGTAACACATTCAAGACCTTGAAGTTTTCGCTTGATACAGAATTTATATGTCGCTAACATTATTATCAACATGTATTTTCCAGACCAGACAACATCCCGGCAGAGGCACTGAAAGCAGATGTAGCAACAACTGAAAAGACACTCCACACTCTCTTCAGTAAGATTTGGGATGAAGAACAAGTACCAATAGACTGGAAAAAAGGACTTCTGATCAAGATACCAAAGAAAAGCTATCTCAGCAAGTGCGACAACTACAGGGGCATCACTCTTCTCTCAATACCAGGAAAGTCTTCAACAGGGTGTTGTTGAACAGGATGAAGGACTCCGTAGACGCCCAACTTCAAGATCAACAGGCTGGATTTCGTAAGGATCGATCGTGTACAGACCAAATCGCAACTTTGCGGATCATTGTAGAACAGTCAATTGAATGGAATTCATCACTCTACATCAACTTCATTGACTACGAGAACGCATTTGATAGCGTGGACAAGACAACACTATGGAGGCTTCTTCGACACTACGGCATCCCTAAGATAATCAACATCATATGGAACTCATATGATGGATTAAACTGCCAAATCGTCCATGGAGGACAACTCACAGACTCATTCGAGGTAAAGACCGGTGTTAGACAAGGTTGCTTACTCTCACCGTTTCTCTTTCTCCTGGTGATCGACTGGATTATGAAGACGTCACCATCTGGGGTGGGGAAGCACGGGATACAGTGGACAGATAGGATGCAGCTTGACGATTTAGACTTCTCAGATGACCTGGATCTTATATCACACACGCAACAACAAATGCAGGAGAAAACGACCAATGTAGCAGCAGCCTCAACAGCAGTAGGTCTCAATATAAACAAAGGGAAAAACAAGACTCTCCGATACAATACAACATGCACCAATCGAATTACACTTGACAGAGAAGCTTTAGAGAATGTGGAAACCCTTACATATCTGGGCAGCATCATTGATGAACACGGTGGATCAAATGCAGATGTGAGGGCGAGGATCGACAAAGCAAGAGCAGCATATTTACAACTGAAGAACATCTGGACCTCAAAACAATTGTCAACCAACACCAAGATCAGAATTTTCAATACAAATGTCAAGACAGTTCTTCTGTATGGGGCGGAGACGTGGAGAACTACGAAAGGCATTATCCAGAAGATACAAGTGTTTATTAACAGCTGTCTACGCAAGATACTTCGGATCCGATGGCCAGACACTATCAGCAACAAGTTACTGTGGGAGACAATAAACCAGATTCCAGCAGAGGAAGAAATCAGGAAGAGGCGCTGGAAGTGGATAGGGCAGAATTTGAGGAAACCACCCAATTGCGTCACAAGACAAGCCCTCACATGGAATCCTGAAGGCCAAAGGAGAAGAGAAAGATCAAAAAACACATTACGCCGAGAAATAGAGACAGACATGCGAAGAATGAACAAAAGTTGGATAGAACTAGAAAAGAAGGCCCAGGACAGAGTGGGTTGGAGAATGCTGGTCGGCGGCCTATGCTCCATTGGGAGTAACAGGCGTAAGTAAGTAAAAGTAAGTATTTTCTTAAGTGACTGTTGCTTTTTTTAGGTAGTCGCTATCATTGCCAAAACACAGTTAAAGACAACTACATTAAAAACAACATTCGGTCATTAGTGGCATAAACCGTTTAATCTTTAATCCCGATCAAAATGAATAGAGTGAATATCCCGAGAAACCATCAATCACAGTAATTTGAAAAAAAACGAGGTATTTATATGTTATAGCTGGTAACAATTATCTCTCATCTCAGAACTAAGAGACACATTTGTTTGTGAACAAATAAACCGAATAATTATTTAGGAGACATTAGTAGACTGGCACTAAAACTTCCAAACATTCGTCAGAATTTAATCATCAGTAAATACAAAATAACCGAAGGATTTAGATGCCAACGAAATACGAAAACTTTTAAGGAAATACAGTTGTGATGTTTCCGCGGGTACTAGTCGCCCTTTCGTACCTGAAAAGTGTCGAGAACTGATATTTTAACACGTCCATTTGCTACCACACCCTGAAATTCGAGCAACCAGAAGACGTATAGCAGAACGCTCTTTTGGCCCCATACGAACTAAGATATCAGAAGTTAGGCAAGGGTGTACATGTTGTACCAAAGTAGCAAAGTCCAACAACACACCGTCAGTGCATTTGGGAATTTCCCAATCCAGCAGCCAAAGGCCTTATGAAAAAACTTCACCGCCAATCAAAAAGCACGCTCATGTCTATGGCTGATACAACCAAGTGGAACAATGAATTATCCCTTATTCTCCTAAAAATATGATTAACAGTAAAAGGAGACATACGATGCACATTAGCCGAATTGGTTTACGGAGCAACTTTAGTGCTACCCGAACAACTAATTAGCCACGGTGAAAAACTCCAAGAAAATACAATGACTTTCGAAAGCACGTCACTACAATAACAGACAATACTAACACGTGTGAACATGCGCCATGAACAAGTTATTAAGTATCTAAAAACATGAAACTTTGTTCTAACTGATGCTATCCAAAAACCATTAACCCCACTATGTAAGGTCATAAAGCGAATAGAAACATATTTCATCATTAATAAAAATGGTAAAAAGGACATTGTTTCTATAAACAGACTAGAATATGCCTTCGTCCCGACCGTTGCTGCTACCTTGACGTGGTGGTCGGGCTTGCCTATCGTGATGAACCAATCGAGCTATACTGGCTGGAACAATCGTTCCTCAAGGTCCTACCATGCCAGACAGGTCGGTTGAAGAGCGGTAAGACTAAAAGCAGCAATCCTAAGGTCCGAAGGCGAAGTCGTACTGCTGACTGTACAGAGGTGTGACAGCAGTAAGGTGTTTCCTTCAGATAACCAGCATAACAGCGATGCTACCTTCCCACAAGGAGGGAGGGGGTTAGAAATGGTCGACCCTAAAAATGCACACCTAGCCTTATCCCACGGATTTCCGTCTTCGGCGGTAAGGTCCCAACAAGTACGGAGCTAACACGTCTAAAATCCCCCACAAAAAGGCCGTGCGTGACCGGCCTCGAGCAGTTGTCCCTTGGGCACTGCGGTCACGCTCCCAGGTCGTTAAGACCAACCCTAATCCGACTTCTTTTTCAGGTACCTCTAGAAGAACCCTTCTACGGTGTGGGCAACCGGGAAGTGATAACTGCCCTAATACCCGTAACAGCACACGATATGCCTTCGTAGATGATAGTCAACAAGAACAACAAATCCTCAAAGCAGTTAAACAACCTCATCCAACGGAACCATCGAAACCAAAAAAAACGACTCTTTTTTTCTGACTTGTGTTAGCTCAGTTTTGTTAAGATTACTATCAACATTATTAATTGTACTATAACTCAATGATGAGTATCGATTGTTTTTGTAATAAGAAATCACACACATACACCGCACATTTATGCCATATATATATAGGTTTGATTTTGTTTGTTTATTTATCTACTCTTGTTTGTACCACTGTTACCTCCAGACATTCTTTTATTCATTTATTTAAACACATAAATATTGGTACAAGGGGGTACCAGATATATATGCGCCACACAAAACAATGAAAATGGGAAGAGAAAAGGGGTAAGATGCATACATTAAAAAAAATAAAAGTGATGATGGGGGAAACTGAAATGTACGATCAGAAGATCTGTTTCAGTTAAGAAAGTTATAACCACCCTTTATGAAGAAAGTAAAAGAAGGTTACAGCAGGATCGCCACTGGCTTCTATTCTGAGCCATATCTGATAACGTCTCTAGCCACTGTGTTGCACCATCTCTTGGACCTCAGACACGGAGTCGTGAAGGACCAACACAAGCCAGCCCTTTATAGCTTTCTTTCATACCACGACACCATGTCATACACTGACCTCCTCTCCGCTTTTTCCAACCAGTCCCAGAGTCGGCAAATAATGCACGACGTGGAAGTCTCTGGGACGACATTCGTAAAACATGTCCGAGCCACCGAAGTCGATGTTTCAAGATGATGACACCAATTGAATTATCGTCTCTGCGCCCGAACATACGATGCCGAACCTCTGCATTACTAACATTGTGTTGCCAATGGATGTTAGCAATCCTTCGGAGACAACAATGATCGAACACAGAGAGTCGTCTAACATCCTCAACTGGGAAAGGCCAGGTTTCACAAGCATAGAGCAAAATTGCTCTCACCGACGCGTTGTAAATCCGACCTTTTACAGCCAGACTAACGTCACAAAGGCGTCAAAGATGGCCCAGATTGGCATAAGCCGCTCTGGTTTTCACTATACGTACATCAATCTCATCACTCACGCTACCACCAGCACTTATACAGGTACCTAGATACATGAACTTCTCAACTACTTCAATCTGCTCACCATACAGGGTGAGTACAGGATGAGAATCCTGCCAGTCTTGTAGGAGTACCTTGCACTTGGAGGGTGCAAAGCATATGTCGTACCTGCGGACACTCTTGGGGGTGCTATGTAGGAAAGATTGAAATAAACTTAATTTTTAAACAACTTTAGTTAATATTTTTCATAATCCCACTCAATGTATACAAACATTACATTAACTAAAGGAATTTTACTCCCATTATTCCTGTTTAATTTTCACTTGCCTTACTGTTTATCATTTGCTAAATTAATCAGTCAGTCACAACATAGAATTTCGCATGCACGTACATACATACATCAGTTCAAGTTGCCATACCACATTAGCACAAAGATACAGTTGTCGATTCAAATCCCATAATGGTAGAAGTAGTAAGAGTATAAGCAGTGTTTGTATACACATTTCATTCTGAACTTTGTTAGTTGGCACTTTCTAACTATTTACTAACAATTCTGTTGTGTATACGTTTCAACTTATATTATACAACATATTCCCTATCAACTTAACACAAATACTTTGAATTTATATCTGAGCCCCCAAATGCCCTGGTACGGCCGAGAGTGGGGAGAGTCTGCTCTCCCTCTCGAAATGCTCTCTTATGGCCACGCGAATATATAGCCTCTGTCAGGGAAGTCCTACTCACTGCCTTCTCGTGGCATTACTGTTGTTCACCGAATTGAGAGGACGAAAAGCGGATACCCGGCGCTTTAACTGGGTTGGTGGACACGACGAGTCCACCTAGGGGAGTTGGAAAACCCTCATTCCAAACCAATGGTGCACATGGACTCCAGTATCCTGATGGAACAAATGGCGTATAAACCAACTGTTGGTCACCGGCTACCATGGGACTGCATCTCCTCACGATGCTCCACTGCCTTGTGGACTAGACCTTTAGGTCAAAGGCTCCGGGTGTGGACCCCTAAGAAAACCACCTGCTTCAGTTTGGGCACCTGGGCAGTATCACAGCCCTCACACAAATCAAATGAGATTTGTGAGGCGCATATTTATCTGGTGCTTTTTTGTACCAATATTTATGCGTTTAAATAAATAAATAAATAATCTATATCTGAAATTCTTTGGAATTATTTTCCTTTCCCCCCCCCCTCTATTATCATAAATGTAAATATACATATTGTAAGGATGGTTCGTTGGCAAGGAGAATTGGCTGAGTTAAAATGTTTTTCTTTACATATTTGTATTGGTTCACTATAAATTAACACTAAGAATAGTTAATGATGAATAAATGTAAACAATGAATAAATAAAAACATAAAATTCAACGAAAGGATCTCTTTTCAACGAACACAAATAACCAAGATGATGTAATGGAAAGATTAGAATACTAGAGATCCCTTTACTGAACTTCATGTTTTTTTTTTTAATTTTTAATGTTTAAATGGGAATTTTATATAGTTCAAATCATGAGTCAATTGAAGCTAGACCACCATGGAAAACCTGGAAGCACTGGACAGCCGTTCCGTCCTATTTTGGGACTTCTCAGCAGTGCGCATCCACGATCCCACCTAGCGAGATTCGAACTCAGAACCTATCAGTCTCGCGTGCGAGCGCTTAACCACTAAACCACTGAGTCGGAGTTCCACAATAAAATGAAACGGCCGTCTAGTGCTTCCAGGTTTTCTACCTACAACTGACTCATGATCTCAACTATATAACATTACTGAAATCTCCATACAAAAACACCCTTCTGATAATATTAGATTACTCATATTAATCAAAATAATCAAACTCTTTTACCATTATCATATATTGTAGATGGATTTAATGATCTTCCAAAGAAAATATCAAATGTAATATGTTCATTAATATCTGGATAGAATACCTAAATTAAAAGAAAATACAAACAATTATTACAAATAATAGTATTACATTTAAATACAATAAAGATTATTGATATAGGCAAAGTCTCGTAACAGAGATGATTATCAGTTTAATCTTGGACTTTGTTTCCTTATAACACAGGAAATTTGAACTAATCAAAAATCAATCGATTTGTATATTGATTAACTGACAAATGTGTCCTCCTGATTTAAATGTGAGGATATATTAAGTAAATATTGCCCCCAAATGCCCTGGTACGGCCGAGAGTGGGGAGAGTCTGCTCTCCCTCTCGAAATTCTCTCACATGGACACGTAAATAAAACCACCACCACGGAAGTCCTATTCACTGCCTTCTCGTGGCATTACTGTTGTTCACCGGATTGAGAGGACGAAAAGCGAATGTCCGTCGCCTTAACCGGGTTGGTGGATATGGAGCATACGCCTAAGGGAGTTGAAAAACCCTGATTTCAAACCAATGATACACATGAGTTTCAGCACCCTAAGGAAACAAATAATGTATAAACCCGTTGTTGGTCACCGTCTACCATGGGACTGCATCTCCCAAATTTGCTCCACTGCTCGAGGAGTAGTTCCTTAAAAAAACACCTGCTTCAGTTTGTGCACCCGGGTAGTATTTCAGCCGTAATACAAATCGAATCATTTGTGTAACACATATATACTTGGTGTCTCCTTGTACCAATGTTTATGTGCTTAAATAAAAATAAAATAGATAAACAATCACGGATGTATATGATCCCAGTTAATCACTTCTTTAAGAACTTTTTAAACATATTTTGTGAATAGTCATATTTAAATGTCCAAGAAATGGGAATCTTGTTGCTATTTTGTGCTCAGAATTCTTAACTGTAATTATATATATATTATATTAGTTAGAATGCTGGTCGGCGGCCTATGCTCCACTGGGAGTAACAGACGTAAATAGAGTAAGTAATATTAGTTAGAATGAAAACAAAATAAATTAACGAGTCTTACTTTTAATCCAGTCACCAGAAATCCAATTTCTTCACGCCATTTATACTTTGCACATTCAATCATTATTTTTGATGGTGAAGAATCAGGAGCATATGTACGACGACCCATTTTTAAATCACATAATGATGGATGTTTAAAATTAGCCAATAAATCTTTTAAACCCAAGTATAAATCTATCTTAAGTAGAATTTTTTGAATAATAAGCGAGTGAAAAAAAAGAACATTGAAAATATTTGACAGGTACGAGCTCAGGGTAACAGTTAAACTTCCAGAGAACGAAACCACATAATAAATATTGAAGGAATGATAGAAGTCTCATAGTGTAAAAACATCGGATTACACCTGATAATCTTCAAGTTGAGTTCGGTTTCAAACGACATCTAACGCTGACTACTTTTAAACATTCTAAACGTATAGAATCCACACTGGCGATCGAATTCATGACCCACAACACCAGGGATATGCTTCCAAGTTTGTAGTTATTTGTTGGAACTTTTTCAAGAACATGATTCTTCTAAGTATAAAGATGCTTGATTTGTATCAGACGATATAGATTTCTAATATTTTTTAGTTATGAACAAGAGGTTCTCAATCACTGTTAAAGGTATGAGACGTCGTCGCTTCCCGATCATTTACACCATGGAAATATATACTTTCTTAAAAAACATGACAAGGAAAGTGGATTAGTAGTGGCTTTAACAACCTAGGAGCTTGACAGCAGAGACCAAGGGACAAGTGCTTGAGGTCGGTCATACATGACCTTATTAAGAGCAGTTTTTGATGTGTCAGCTACGTACTCCAGAGGCCTTACTGTCAAATACGGAAATGTGGGGTGAGGGGAGGTGTAAAATCTCCATGGTCAACCTGTTCTAACTCCTCTCCTCTGTTGTGAGAAGGAAGCATTGATGTAGATACTGGTTATCCAAAAGAAACACCTCACTGTCGCCACACCCCAGTACGATTTCGCACTCAAATCTTAAGTCGAGTGGTTGATAAGACTTAATAACCAAGCACGCGTTCGTGTACTTCGAGCTGTACTCTGCTTAAAAGTGAGTCATACTAGCAGGTTGCCAAAACCGAAACAGGTAGAGAAGAGTTTGAACTTGCAACCCTATGATTGAGAGTCGAGTGATTTAAACCTTATGTTACTTCTTCATTGAGAGACCATAAGTAAAACTTTGTTTATCAGTTATTAATGAATAAGAATTTATCAGCAGTTTACTTTTTCTCAATATTCAATAGTATAAAGTTAAAGCCAACTTAAATAAATCTATGTATATTAACTCACGTTTTTGTTCAGAATCACGATAGAGGCCATAAAAATCGGGTACAAATTTTCGTAACTCAACTAAAATGGAATCATGACAATTTGGATCGAATAAACGTTGATAAAATTCTAATTCATGTGGACCTTTAGGATAATGTTGTATTGGTTTATATATAGTTGACTGAACATGTGAATATAATACTAGAATATTTAAGAAGAGATAAAGAGAATAGAGCCCAGAAAAGCACGTTAGTAATTGAATATATGTATATATTAAATTTTATTTTAAAGAATCGATATCAATGATTGTACACTGAAAATGCAATACTCGTTGTAAATGGAATTAGTAACAATTATAAAAGATAGAAAGTTCTAAATACTCGCTTCGGCGGTACATCTACTAAAATTGCAACGATACAGAGAAGATTGATTATGAATGCTGTTAGAGGTATGAGGGTAGTTGTCACTTTACGGTTGACCACACAGTGGAAGGGTTCTTTTAGAGGTACCTGAAAAGGAAATCGGGTTAGAGGTGGTCTTAATGACCCGAGAGCGTGACCGCAGTACCCAAGGGACAACTGCTTGAGGTCGGTCACACACAACCTTTTTGTGGGTGGTTTTTGTGTTAGCTCCATACTTGTTGGGACCTTACCACCGGAGACGGAAATGGGATAAGGCGGATAGTGTATTTTTAGGGTCAACCTTTTATAACCCCACCCCTCCTTGTGAGAAGGCAGCATCGCTTTTATGCTGGTTGTCTGAAGGAAACACCTTACTGCCATCACACCTCTGTACAGTCAGCAGTACGACTTCGCCTTCGGACCTTGGGTTTGCTGCTTTTAATCTCACCGCTCTTCAACCGACCTGTCTGGCATGGTAGGACCTTGAGGAACGATTGTTCCAGCCAGTATAACTCCATTGGTTCATTACGATAGGCAAGCCCGACCACCACGTCAAGGTAGCAGCAACGGTCGGGTCAGAGATTAGCATGGCCGCCATCCCGCAGAAAATCTCGCGAAAAAACGTTAACCAGAAAGTCCTAAGTATGTAGCTAGTCCTTACTTCATTAAATATGATATACAATGAAGAATTTCAATGGATCATAATTTACGTACAGCTAGCAAATATTTAAATACTTGATATAGAGTAAAATGAATACTAAACGATACAATTGAACGATGAAGTGGCATTTCCCAAACTGTATAGAAATTGAAACTAAACTGTTATCTAACAAACAAAAAGCCCCAAATGCCCTGGTACGGCCGAGAATGGGGAGAGTCTGCTCTCCCTCTCGAAATGCTCTCATATGGCCACGCGAATATATAGCCTCTGTCAGGGAAGTCCTACTCACTGCCTTCTCGTGGCATTACTGTTGTTCACCGAATTGAGAGGACGAAAAGCGAATGTCCGGCGTTTTAACCAGGTTGGTGGACACGACGAGTCCACCTAGGGGAGTTGGAAAACCCTCATTCCAAACCAATAGTGCACATGGACTCCAGTATCCTGAGGGAACGAATGGCGTATGAACCAACTGTTGGTCACCGGCTACCATGGTACTGCATCTCCTCACGATGCTCCACTGCCTTGTGGATCAGATCTTTCGGTCAAAGGCTCAGGGTGTGGACCCCTAAGAAAACCACCTGCTTCAGTTTGGGCACCCGGGCAGAATCACAGTCCTGACACAAATCGAACTAGATTTGTATGGCGCATATGTATCTGGTGCTTTTTTGTACCAATATTTATGTTAAGGAGGCTATTAAGAAACTCGATCTATACTGCCGCTACATCGACGATACATTCATAGTCGTGGATCAGAACACCAGTAAGGATGAACTACTAGAACAGTTCAACAGTGTACATCCAGCGATTAGCTTCACTTGTGAAGGTGAATGTGACATGAAGCTGAATTTCCTTGACGTTACACTAAGCAGGCGAAGTGATGGCTCGTTAAGTAGAAGCGTGTATAGAAAAAGACCCTCTGCCTGCCAATACACTCACTTCTATAGCTTTACACCTATCCAATATAAGAGAAACTTGGTTAAATGCCTCACTAGTAGAGCAAATAAGATCTGTTCTGTTGATACTTTAAGTCAGGAACTGGAATTTATCTATAACTCACTGACTGAGATCGGCTACCCTGCTGCGTTCATCAAAAAGTACATGTATGATACAAGGAAGAAATCGGAGATTTTAACTGTTCGTAAGAAGCCTCTATACATAAAATTACCATTCAACGGGGATGTAGCTAGTGAAACTCTGAAAGATAGGTTAACAAAAGTAATTAGTAGAACTTTCTACGCAGCCTATCTTGCATTGACTTTCTCGAGTCGACCAGTGATGTCTACTCAAACGAAGGATAAGTTACCTGAGTTGGCCTCCTCCATGTGCATTTATAAGTTCAGCTGCTCCTGTGGAGATAGCTATATCGGGCGTACTACTAGGCAACTTAACCAACGAATGAGTGAACATCTACCAGCATGGTTTGGAAAGGGCCAAATAAAAACAATACGCAGTTCTATCTTGGCACATCTAATTGATAGTGGTCATACTGTTGATAAATTGAAATCATTTCAAGTGATCTATCGTATACCTCCATCGTTTCCCAACGGAGTTCGCTCCCGTCTACTTCATATAGCAGAAGCCATAGGGATTCGTACATTCCATCCCAATTTATGTGTACAGAAGAAATTCGTAACCCCCCTATCCCTTCCATGGCCGGACATAACTTAATAATTGACATTATTATTATTTGTAAATTTTTTTTTTTTGGTTATCATTTTTTGTTTGTTTGTAATTTTCTACCTCTTTCCGTTTGTGTTCTTCACTATCTATTTACTTACATACTTCTTATTACGTAATGATTTTAATGTTTTGTGATTACTATTCCAGACTATTTACCCACGTTTGACCTCTTAATTCTCAATGTTTAATTATTGATAAGACTTTTGTTATCGTAATTTGCTATTCTTACTACTATCAGTACACCTGTCTTCCCACTATCAACTTGTACTTTTAACTATTATTACGCTTGGTAACGTATTTCTATTTCATTGTGATTATTATTGACTCAAATAGCCTTGATTGGTCTAACATTTTTATATAAATATTCATGTATATTAGAGTAAAGCCTGATGACGATCTAATTGAAAACAATTGTTCGCTTACATATGTTGTTCCAATATTTATGTGTTTAAATAAATAAATAAAATAAGCGGCAGTTCAATATTACGTGAAATTTAGTATTTTTATGGTTAAATAAACTGGAAATCTTCTAAGCGTTTCAATAAACATAGTTTTAAATTATTTCCTCGTTGACTCTACGTAGAATCTACCAGCATGATAATGATAAACAGCTTACTCAAATCTCGTTTACTTGTTAATTAGTGTTAGTGTAATTTGTATTATCATACGATTCAAAATACGTTTATACGACTGAAATAAGCCTGTTACTGCACTAACTTTCACTGATGAACATCTAAAAGTTGAGAAATTAGTTTATTTGACAAAATGGTGGCGGAATTACGTCAAATCGGAATCATTTATACATAGCGAAAGTTAAGGAGTGATAGGTGCGGTTGAGGTAGTTTTAGGCTAGGATCCATCGGTTTATCAGAACTTTTTGTTTTAGGCCATGAATGTGAAAAACCCCATTATTTCGATAAGCTACTATAAATGCCATAGAATATAAGCTATTGATGATACTATTGTTTGTTTGTTTTTTTTCATAAATAGCACATTTTATGTACTTTATTTAAGCTGTCTCCATCAATACGTCGTATTCCCAATTTAAATATATGATATATTCGCATATACCTCTTTACAGTATTGGAGTGTTTTTGTGTCATATTGTGCTTTTATACATTTCGCTCTGCTATAAGCAAAGCAGAATAATAGGGTGGCAAGCATAGAAAAATAAATCTGCAACTACTTAGTGAGAAATTGCAAAACTAAATTGTCAAACACAAATTCATTTACTGATGACTGTCTGCTATTTATTATCTTTGTTTATTGCCAAACGGCGAGACTGTAATTTGTGAACGAGCACAATCACATTTAAGATAGTAGATCTTGGATTTTGGAGCGAAATTCACTCACTCATTTGGCTTAATACCATTTTGACATTAAAGCTGGTGTCAGTTCATGATGAAAACAATAAATCTAATTCGTAATCCTAATTTTCAACTGTTAATCCTAATCCTAGTTCCTTACACTAATATATAACCCTAGTAAGTAGGTGGATATTCCAAGGTCATTTTAGCGTTGCCCAAAGGTCGTCCAAAAATTATAGTTCCACCAGCCGAACGATTTCGACTTGGACTATTCTATTAATTTTGTTAAAGTTAAAAATCCTGTATACAAGAATAATACCTGTTTGGTACAGATAGTTTATATGTGAATAATCAGGTATAAAAAAGTGGAAAAATAAATGGTCATGAGAATCCAGTTGGTATAATTACGTTTTTTGTTTCATCTAATTAGTTGGTGGATAAATGTATCACAAGAATAAAAAAGCACATCCAGTGTTAAATGCATAAGAACATACAAACATCACATGAAGGTCCATCGGTTCATTATGTTACGCTTTGAGATAGCAAAGACATTATTTATCCTGAAATATTAATCCTAAAACATTAACTTTACGATCGACTCGGTGATGACAAATGACAAATTTGAGGATCCATATTTTATCTCACGACCGCATATAGACAAATTTCGATGAGTATTTATGTTCATGTAAAAACCATAACTCAGAACATATTGTTTTAAATCACAGTTTGTTATTCTATAATCTATTGATGTTAAAGTTATTATAAAACAATCTTATAAACTCAATCCATAGTTTTACCACAATCCAGTTTGTAAGCAAACTGTGGCTGGTTTATGTCTACGAGCAATTAATATGAACAGTGCAATAGGTAGTTCGTCACTTCAAAACCCAACCCTCCCCAAATTTAGCTTAACCTATCGCGTAGTGTATCGATAATCATATTAGGTATGACCAAGTGTCTAGTACAAGATACCTCTCCTTGGTGATTAATCCACCTAATAAGGAGCATAACGACTGAAATCACCAAATGCATACCAGTACCAAAAGCTGTTAAATTCTCCCTCCTGTAGTTAGTTTTTAAGAATGTTATGAACTAAGATAAGGCTTTAGAGTGTTGATTAGATACTACGAATATCTAAATCCACCAACCCGGTTAAAGCGCCTGATATTCGCTTTTCGTCCTCTCACTTTCGTAAACAACAGTAATGCCGCGAGAAGGCAGTGAGTAAGAATTTTCTGGATGTGATCGTAGACACGTGGCCGTGTTAGAGCATTTTGAAAGAGAGAGCAGACTCCCCATCTTCAGTCCTACCAGGGCATTCGGGGGCGTTTAAAAACAGGAAGCAAGAATCCAGCCACATAATTAGAAAGTCACATTTGTTGGCAATTTTCTGATAGGTTATATCATTCCAGACATACATATTGCTTGAACGCTAATAATACTACTAAAACGCCTAAACTATTGTGAATAGGGTGATTTTATTTTTATTTATTTATTTAAACACATAAATATTGGTACAAAAAAGCACCAGATAAATATGAGACGCACAAATCTCATTCGATTTGTGTCAGGACTGTGATACTGCCCAGGTGCACAAACTGAAGCAGGTGGTTTTCTTAGGGGTCCACACCCTGAGCCTTTGACCGAAAGATCTGATCCACAAGGCAGTGGAGCATCGTGAGGAGATGCAGTACCATGGTAGCCAGTGACCAACAGTTGGTTTATACGCCATTCGTTCCCTCAGGATACTGGAGTCCATGTGCACTATTGGTTTGGAACGAGGGTTTTCCAACTCCCCTAGGTGGACTCGTCGTGTCCACCAACCTGGTTAAAACGCCGGACATTCGCTTTTCGTCCTCTCAATTCGGTGAACAACAGTAATGCCACGAGAAGGCAGTGAGTAGGACTTCCCTGACAGAGGCTATATATTCGCGTGGCCATATGAGAGCATTTCGAGAGGGAGAGCAGACTCTCCCCATTCTCGGCCGTACCAGGGCATTTGCGGGGATAGGGTGAATTTTAAAACAAATATGAAATACTTGAGTGTCAATAGCCTAAACCATCTTAACTAGTGCCTACAGATCAATATAATATCAGTGATTATGGTTTTAAGTAACTAATAAGATAAATTGTACAACCAATGTTACAATATATACTAGAAGGTGAGAAAGCCACTTCATTAACAGCTTAATATGTAATAATAGACCATGTCTCAGTATTCTGTGTGCACTTACAAATATACCTTGGTGATTACACAACAAACCTTTCGACACAACTTGATTAACAAAAAGGACTAGGTAGTATGATATTGCTTAATATCTAGTGACAGGCTGGTGTAACAATTTGGAACTAGAACCAATTCACATTTTAATGGAATCTATCGACTACAGTAATGATTAGAACAATTCAAAACATACGTCAAAAATAACAGAATCATTTAGATATTAATTTAAAACTTACTTTTACATTTATTTCCAAACAGAAGCCCATGACCACCGATTTGGTTAGGATAATTGATCAGATCTGACGGCAACAAAGAACTACTTTCAAACAGATAATTCAGCTTGTTAGTCTCATCATTCGTCGAATCACATTTCTGGTTGACAATCATTTAACTTTGTAGCATTACTAGCAACAAATATTAGTTATTAAGTGGATAATCCCGGCAAAAAAATATCATCTATTTAAGAAAGTCACTGGCTAAAGACTTCAGCGTTATTATAAGAGCTATGCTAGATAATTACGGACAAAATGACAGCCAAGATGTGCAAACGAACAGATTATGGTCTGACTTATGTACATAAGTACCTGTTACTTAGTCAGCGTTATAGGTGTCGAAAACCAGTAATTGGAAGAGCTAGTTAAGTTGATTGAATAACTGAACACTATTTTAATCATTTAATACTTACACACTACTAATTTTTATGATTTTTTCGGGTTAGCGTTTTTTTAGCGAGTTGATTTTCTACGGGATGGGGTCACTAACCCCATGCCCAACCCTCCTCCTTTACCCGGGCTTGGGACCGGCAGTAACCCCCAGAGGAGCTACAGGCGGAGAAGCGATGGAAGTGGATTGGGCACACCTTGAGGAAATCACCCAATTGCGTCACAAAGCAAGCCCTCACATGGAATCCTGAAGGTCAAAGGAGAAGAGGAAGACCAAAGAACACATTACGCCGAGAAATAGAAACAGACATGAGAAGAATGAACAAGAACTGGATAGAACCAGAAAAGAAGGCCCAGGACAGAGTGGGTTGGAGAAGGCTGGTTGGCGGCCTATGCTCCATTGGGAGTAACAGGCGTAAGTAAGTAATTAAGTAACTAATTTTCATCCTTTTTGTTCATCCTAACTTTGGTAATTTTTTCTCTTTGTGTTATGAAGTTTACAACCTCAACCTAAGCACTTTTGTGAGGGGTTTAATGCTGTGCTGATGATAATTGAAGGTTAAATCCAATAAGATTGTGATGCAAATAAATAAGTACTACGGCCCACATCACTACACAATATTTTGAGTTGTGCTACCTAGAGTAATGTATTATAAAGATCTAGAAGTCAAAACAAGCAACAACCTCGAAACTATGAGTAACTGCAGGGCCGTTTCTAACAAAGGCTTTAAAGTTATACAGGTTATTTGTAAGTAATTTTATTACTTGAACGACAAGTTTACTTGACTTTTGTGAGACCGCATTTGGAATATGGGATCCAAGCGGCGAATCCTTGTTTCAAGTATGAAGCGGATATGCTGTGACGAGTTTAACGGCGAGAGACCAAGATGGCAAGTCTCTCTGGCTCATCATAGGAAGACAGACAGACGCCCCAACTTTTCTGCATGATCTTACACAGGTTACTTGGTGACCTAATACTGCCTTAATGTGGACACAATGATGGTTTTGGTTTTGTCTTGTCCCTTTCTTTCATCTAAGATTGATTATGAGAGGATATTCTAAGAGGGCTTAAAAACCGAGATTAAATCGCTTACGCCTGGAGTTCCATTTCTCGGACCGAGTTGTGAATTACTGGAATACGTTACCAGAACATGCAATATCAGCACTTACTATTGACATTCAAGGAGAAATTGGACTTCTGCAGTACTATAAATTCTTGCGATTATTATAGGTTGATTGACCTCCTATCCCTCCTATTGAAGACTGAGAAACTGATATGAGCCTGAACTAATTAGTGTTTAAAGACAATTTGATAGCCGCAGCTAGTAGTAGCACGAGATTTTGTCATAATCAAAACAGTCTAATGGTTTGCGTTTAGACCAAAGGTACTTTTTTGCTGGGTGGGTAGCATGTAGAGCATCGTGTTTGAAGTTGGAAATTTCCAGGAGAAAAATAAAAGACGTCCGTGAGCCAAGTGATAAGTGTGCGCATGAGACGTACTTATATCTAATGACGAAGAAAATCGGTAATAATTGTCACTATCTCATGATTCAAAATAAAATTAATCCATAACCAAGAATACAAGTGCTAACATGAGAACTCCAACCCAAAACAGAATAACTCGAAACTTGCGCAGTATCTTTGTTTAGTGTTCTGAAATAGCCAGCAAGTTCAAACAAAAGTGAGTCTTATTAGCAAGATCAAATGTGTTGACCCTGGATAATACTGCCTCTATAAGACCCACTTTTCTCCTTAAAGCTAGAAATGTCATAAAACCCAAGACTAAACCGGAATCACGCCTCTTAGACTTTTCATCAAAACGGAGTCTCATCTCCCAATCGAAAGTTGCATTTCGTCTTCTTTTCTATGATTCGTATACCAAACATGTAGAATTCTCCACTGAAATCCAGTGAGTTGACAGGGAACCCACTATTTTCATTTGTTTCTGTATGCTTTAATTCGTTGAGGCTCATCAATGAATAACATCCAACAATAAACCGAATCAACTCTTCTTCAGCAAAATGCGCGATTCGTAGTAAATGCGAAATCCATTCATCTGGACGACACCACGCGAAAAGCATTCCCTGCAGTTAAAGAACTTATCGCAAATGCTGGCACATCAGAACACTCGAGCGCCCATTAGTATCCCAGTACATACATCCGACTCAGGTATCGGAGGAGTCTTACAACAATGGGTTAACCACTCCTGGCAACCCTTGACATTTTTCTCGAGACGGTTGCTAGACACTGAATCGAGTTATAGCGCTTTCGGTAGGGAACTCCTAGCTATGTACTTCATTGAAGGCCGAGAATTCACCCTTTTTACTGATCATAAACCCCTTACTTTCTCTTTAAGTCCATCTTCAGACAAGTACTCATCTCGTGAGTCTCGACATTTAGACTACATTTCGCAGTTTACTTCATATATAAAACACATTTCTGGAACAAACAATGTAGTTGCAGACGCCTTTTCTCGTATAAGTTCCTTGAACAGTTTCCAAGGAATCGACCTTCTTAAACTCTCCCAGCTTCAAAAAGAAAACACTGATCTTCAGCACGAGTTATCCTCAACACCTCTTAAACTGCACAGTGAACAGATGGGAACGGGTAAGGAAACCTTACTATGTGACACATATACAGGTAGGGATCGCCCAACCGTTCCAAAACATTATCGACGCAACGTCTTCAAAAAAATACCAACCCAGCTGAGTAATTTACTACAGTGAAAATTGTAACTTCTGTAACAATTTGATCTTGCCTGTAAGCTGGCATGTCTCATATAACAATCTGTTGTTTGAGAATATATTATTATTATTAAAGCCTCATTGCCAGCTTCGAACGTTTCACAGTGAACTGACTCTCTTCCACTCATTTTACTGTGTATTCGCAATGCAGTGAATGCTGACGTTAGATACACCGCAGCTCAACTCGTTTATGGAACGACACTTCGGCTTCCAGAATAATTCGTATATCCTTCATCTTCTTCAGTGAACATGGATCTGAACCATTACACGAGCAGGCTTACAAACGCAATGCGTTCAGTCAAACTTGTCTCCACTTGATCACAATCAACCACAATCTTTCAACCTGACTTAAGATATAGTACACATGTCTTCGTACGTTGAGACTCGTATCGACGAACCCTGGAATCAGCATACGAAGGACCCTTCAAAAGTCTTCAGAGTGAACCCAGGTACAATGTAGTCGATAAGAACGGCACTAACGATAGCATCATAATCAATTGAATCAAAGCAGAGTATTTAGAAAGAAATCCTATCCATGTCGATTTTCCTTCGCTGCATTCGAACGACATGGCTTCTACACACATAATACATCACACAACAGCCAACACGCATATCGATACTTCGGAAGTATCTAAAACTAAAGTAGAAACAACGCGTTCTGTAAGAAGAGTAAGATTTCCAGAACATCTAAATGATTATTGCACATAAGACACCAGTTAACCTTCAGCCTTATCTCGACTTTCCTTTGTATTAGATATGATAAAAGTTTTAATATGCTTATAACTATATATTTTTTCGAAAAACGTTTTTGCTAATATGTGTATATTTAATTCTTTTCTTTAAAAAAACAAAACAAATTTTTTAATCGCTTTTACGCTGTCTTAGGTGTATGAGTTTATTTGCCTTTTTCGCTCGTTTTGTTTTTACGTGCGTACAAGTGTATTTCGACATTCACCTACACATTGTTTTCCTTTCCACGACGGATGGAAAAGACGATAAAAAGAACGATGAAGCTTACGAGGAACCGAAATTCTCGTCGCACCTTGTTTCCCCAATATTATGTTGTATTTCATGGCCCCTTATAGTAAGGAAAGATAACCAGACGCTGCTAAACATGGCAATCTACCAGAAGACTGTTTAACAACGACAAACTCGTTGGGGTTTAAACTTTTGGCTGGCCACGTCGTAAGGTCGTCACTATTCCGCTAGAGGGGGAGTGATCTTTAGCAGTAAATAAATCCCCAAAATCAATAGCTCTGTAAGTGTTCGACATTGGATGCTGACCACATTGTTTTAAATGAACTTACCTAGCTGAAGGCGCTTGGTTATGAATCCGCAGCAGATCACGAGTGGAAACTCTATGATTAACTTCTCCCACGATCGCTGGACAGATTAGATCAGTCGATCCATGGTATATTAACAACTCATCAAATATATCTTCGAATCTCCTCGCTTCTGTCTTTTGATTTCACTTGGTGAGTACGATTCATAATAGGTGTTACTGGTTAAAGCGTTATCAAACTCCGAATACCAGCGGCACTACTTGTGTATTATTGCACTTTTCAAGAAACCTGAAATGGTTTCTTCACAACACTTGTACTCATAAGATGTTTGTGAATAATAATAAGTCAAGACTGAAAGAATAAGAGGGGTAACGGAGATGATAATATGAGAGATAGTAAGTAGTTACTGATTTGAAGAAATGATGATAGTGGTAATTTGTGAGACATTCATCAGACAGCTAGTTCAAGAAGACGGTTGGTAATCCATAAGTGAGTACGTAATTATCAAATCTCCTTGTAAGGCTCTTTAATGAGGGTGCTGTGGTCACTTCAGCTGAGAGAGAACTCCAAATAGAGCCAACTCTTAGTGAGAAAAAATGAGGCCATGCCTGGATGTTCGCTCTCTCATGTGCAGTCTTTCAAGGGTTGCGACCATGTGCGAGGTAATGGTGTTCCGGTAATATGCTTTCGTTAGGGTG